CTTTAGAAGGAACCCTAATATTTTGTGTATGCAATTTTGATGTATCTGAAAATAATTTTTTGTATATTTATGGTGGGAAGTGGTAGGGAACTTTTAACAAAGTGGGGTGTTAATTTTTGTACAGTCTGTGGGCATTTACACATATTTTTAATGTACTAGATTTGGTAATTATGTGCACATTTAGTTAATAAAATAGTTACTTTACTATCATAAATAGTTATGATTTGTGAATTCTCTACAACCTTGGATTTCTTTACAACAGCTTTATATCAGAAATGATACTGCATCTTTACATTTTCAAATTTGTATTGCTGCTCAAGAATGGTTCCCTGTTGTCAAAAGGCATATATCCCTAATTGTACATTCAGCATTGTAAATAACCTTATGAAATCTTTTTTGATTGAAGCTGTTCAAAATAAAAATGTAAATGAATGAAAAAAAAAGCATGTATCTTTTTGCTGTGTTTTCTTCACAACTGACATGCACTTAAAAGTGGGAGAACTCTATGGTTGTTTGACCCAAAGAGATAATTGACCTAGTCTTAAAAATGTGAGAACCTTCTTTTTTTCTTTTTTTTTTTTTTTGTCTTTTTTTTGTGTGTGTGTGTCCGGCAACAGATCGCAACCCTCAGTGTCACGCCCGTACCGGACTGGGACCGGCAATGGAATCGCAACCCTCGGTGTTGCGGCCACACCTCGCTCAGCCAGTGAGCGGGAACCGGTCTGTATGTGGGATCCGAACCCTCGGCGGGAGCGCCGCCATGCTCCCAAGCGGCGCACTGTAGCAGTGCGCCACCGGGCCAGCCCCGAACCTTCTAATAATATATTTTAGTTACACACTTAACATAAAAAAAATGGGTCATCTGGAGCTTTAAGCCAAAAGGTAGAAGGGAGTGCATCTGAATTTTAGTGCTTCTAGTTTTACTGTTTTGTAGTTTCTACCACTGTCCTTAAGAATGACACTGATACAACTTGCTTATTCACCTAGTCACTAGTTTGAAGTGTTAGATCAGAAAAAATTCAAAACAGAAAAAAATGCCACTCTTCTAGTGCCTTTAAAGAAACTAGACTAAAATTATTAATTATTCAAGGTTCCTATTGAGCAGTGGTGGTTTTCTGTCTGTAACTGTCTAGTGAACGAACCAAATAAGAACTTTCCAACACTGCAAGAGCAGTGATATCCTTTTGATAGAAATCGGGAACCTCGATCTATAGTTCAAAGTCACAGTGGTTTTCTTATACTCCCCTGTTTTACCCTGCTTTTGTGACAGCTATTATGGCAAATGTGTTCTGGGGGGTTATGCTTGACTACTTATGCTTAAAGGTCCTCTTAGGAGATTTCTCTAGTTGAGTAGAAACCCTTCTATGAAAAGGTGGTAGGTTCTGTGAATCCAAAGAGGAGACTAAATATCTCTGTCTCTAAATTACTGCTCAAACTGCAGATTCCTATTGGAGAAAGAAAAGCATTAAAATAACTTAAAGGGGTATTTTATTGGCAACGTAGAATGCCAAGTATTTTATTTTTAAACTTCTAGAATTTGAAAACAAGATAGCCTAGTTTAACTAATACAGTTTTCTCAAAGCAGAATGTACTCATTTGGAGCTCATTTTCTCTGCTTGAAATACAAAAACAACTTCCTAAAACTCCTAGGCAGCCTGCCATTACATAAAACTGGTCAATCTCAGTTGGTAGCATCCTGTTTTTTGGTTGGTAAGGTTTTTATAAATTCCAGTATAGGTGCATTTTCCTAGTCTTCCACTGACAATTTCATTCCCAATGCATCCTGGAGGAATAGACCATATACAGGAACCCATCTTCACCCTTCTGTCGCTCATACACCTTTGAGACCTGGGTGGAGAAGCTCACCATGCTGTGTCCATTCATAAACAGCAAGAAGGCTTGATTAGTTAAGCTGTAAATGCCTGCAAATTATCTTGATGAGTTCATTCCTGTTGATGCAATCAGGTAAAAGGAACTTGGTCTCCTCCAGCACAGGAAGCTGCTTCTCACCCTGTGTCATTATATTATCACCAGGATTTTGGTAGGATGCTGCTCTAAGGTAAGTTGAACATCTTCTCTTTGTTTGAAGGCGTGGTACTGCCTGAAGGTGGTAGCAGAGGAGCAGAGGGTCCAGAGAAAGTGTTCGTAACCTGTTGTTTTTCTCCTTCGTTTGGGTGAAGATATTTCTATTACTTCTGGGTTTCTGGCTAGAATGTGGTGCTTTTATTTCACCCCTTCAATGTTCTGGGGCTTTCCAGATTACCTTTTCATAATGAGTAATTAGAAGAAAAGATAACAAGAAACCTCTGTGAAAGAGTAGACAAATGAACCTGAAAGTACTGAATACAAGGCAGTGACTGACAAAGGAAAACGAGTTCCTGGAGCTGTGCTAGTGGTTGCATTGAGTTAATATTCAAATTTTTTGAAGAAATCTCAGATATCATTTGTAGTTTTTTTTAAAAAAGGCCAATTGTATCATGTGAAATATAATCTCGTTTATTTCAGATTTGGAGTGGTGCCACTTTGAAAAGCCAAGGATGGGGAAGCATCCTATTGTTTTTAGGTCTAACTCCTGAACTATTTGACACACTCACAATGGGACTAGTTAGTCATTTAGAGGTGCAGCAGTGAGGGAAAGGACATCTCTTACACACTGATGAGTACTCAGCATCAAACCCCGGACCTGGCGTTTGATATGTATTTTAACTGAATGAATAAAACTATGGAAGTAGTGCATGAGGGTCAAAGAGGATATTCTTTTTAAAGGCTTTTTAGAGTAAATTTGCCTCTGGAAATATTTGCAGTTTCTCCCACTCCTCCAAGTGTTTATGAAACCATCTGTCCCTTCACATCCTGGTCAACAGGTGGAATAATTCTTTTTAATCTTGGTAAACTGAGAGGTGGAAAATGGCATGCCGTTTTAATAGATGGTTCTTGAATATTACTGAAATGGAATGTATTTTCATATAAACTTTTTGCCATATTTTCACCTCATACTAGGTAAGTTTCATTGCAGCATTGAAGCCTGAGTTCATGTTATAATATAAAAGTATATTGCATTTAGTGCCTATTATATGTCAGGCATTGTGTTAAATTCTTTTCAGGTGTAATTCATTAAATTTATTTTATTCCTCAGTACAAGTTTATGATGTAGACACTATCATCCTCATCCTACAGTAAATTCAGTTTAAAAACATTGAATGGATTTTTATACCAGTTCATCATGCCACAAGGTCCTGGTACTACATTCAAATGATGAGTTAATGTGTTAAAAGAGGAAAGTTAAATTAGTTCTAATCACTGCTCCTTATTCTTTAAAAGTAGACTTGGGGGAAAAAGTGGACTAGAACACTCTGGTACTGCATGTCCCTACCATTACCCTACAGCTTTGAAAGTTTAATTACTCATTTTATAAAAGAAGAGTCCTAAGAAATTGTGAAATTGTTTTTTGCAGCTCTTACACCAAATTCCATCTGGGGTTTATAAGCACAGGTGAAGAGAGTGATCAGAAGAGATTAATAGTGGAGAATCCCTTTGAAGCATTGCTGGCGTTTGTTGATATTCGCCCTCCCCATGGGAGGGTGCTGCTTTCTCACTCTTTTCACAAGCTAAGCAGAGTTGGGGACTTCAAAGGTCCCCTTGGAAAGCTGTTAAGTACTCCCTGGTGATTGAGGACACTACTATTGATGCCTGACTCATGCCTAAAAATATCTACAAGTCAGAGTCTGGGTGGAGTGGTTTGTGGTAAAATAGGGAAGGAGAGATTTAGAGTTGGAGGGCATTCTGCTCTTCCAGTGTATGGCTAAGCGGGTGTGCATGAGTTTTTCTCCTGGGTAGATTCACTGGGGGTTTCTGGACTTGGATCATCTTAAAAGAAGCCCTGCCCAAGATACTTGCATGTCAAGGTGCACTGATCTCAATGCAAAGAATATATTGGATGAGTGAATCCCTAGAAGAGAGAATCTGAGGAAAGGAGGCAGAAGTGGTTGGGCCGGCCCGGTGGCGCACTGCTACAGTGCGCCGCTTGGGAGCGTGGGGACGCTCCTGCCGAGAGTTCGGATCCCACATACAGACCGGCCGCTCACTGGCTGAGCGAGGTGCGGGCGCAACACCGAGGGTTGCGATCCCGTTGCCGGTCACGAAAAAAGACAAAAAGGAAAAAAAAACAAAGAAGTGGTCAACAATAGGAAAGTGCTAGTGGGAGGTTCCTGCAGGGGATCCACAAAAAACTCAAATCATTCTTAAAACAAAAGGACCTGAGCCACACCCAGAGGGCGCCAACCCCAGATCAGTAATGCATCCTGTAAAACAGTTTTCTTTTCCTGTTTCCTGCACTCTGTGATCACAGCTTCAAGGTATCATAAACATGAGCTAGTGGGCCCAGAGGAAGGTAGAGCTGTGAAATAAGAAGGAAAAAAACACACTTCTTCCTTACAGTGTGCTTGTATGGCTGAATCAGGCCTGGACTGTGTGAATGAGTAGGGTCTGAGGGGGAGGAAGAAGAAAGGGGTGAAATTTTGAGTCAAAACTGAGAGGGGATTTTTAAACTTCAGTCAAATGGAACTTTTTTTTTTTTGAAAAAAAGACTATTCATTTGTCTGAGAGTAATCTGAACTAATGGCAGGAAAGAATGATCTTATAAAGTAAGTTAAGGGGACATTTTGGGAAAGAATAAAGTTGCTTTCTGCTTGCACAGAACTAGGTGAAAATATGAACTGGTTAAAAAGTGACAACAATACCTAATTTGAGGAGTAAAAATAAGATAAATGTTAAATACAAATGAACTAATACGTTATATTGTGTTTGTGAGAGTTGTGGGTAGGGAATACCTATCCTTATAGTCCTCTTAAGCCTTTGTTAAGTATCGTTGTTAAAAGATAAGGATAACTTAAAAAAAAAAATTTTTTTTAAGTGTATGACTAACAAAACAACAGTGGAAAAATTAAAAAGAATATTGCAATATCATGGCAAAGACTGAAAGGTGAGAAGAGTGGTGTATGTGATGTATGCAAAAAGACTAATATGAGTCTTATTTTATTCCAACTATGAGATCTGTCTCTACAGATATATTTTATATACCTGGCAAAACTGGTTGACTTTAACATGGAGGAAAGTTTCCCATCATGAGTCTCTACTTCCCTATGTAGAAGACAGACAACTCTCATTCCCAGATTACCCCAGGGGAGACAAGTGATTTAATGGATTCTGCCATGCAGATCCACTTTTGTGAGACTTAGCTGGAGATGTGAGCAACACAAAGATGTAACTTTTCATGGGCGAGGGCGTTTGTTTACTGCAATCATTGACTCAAAGCTGACATTGGAGATGCTTCTGCCATTTCACCTGGAGATCATGATGCCAGGTTGAAGTAGCTGTGGTGTTCTCTCCTGAGGTCCCTTCACTGTACGGTGGAAATATTCTTGGTGGAATAGCTATAGGGTTTGATTCCTTCACCGTCCAGTAGTATCTGGGTGCTACCTAATGGTTTTTTAAATTACTTTTTACATAAATCACCAAGAAGATTTTGTTATTTGCCATAAAGAACCCTGAATAATACACATTCTGAAACAATAGTTGTAGGTTAAAGTTTTCTAACAATGAATTATTCTTGATTTTTCCTTCTGTCATCTGGTCCTTCCTAGCAAGGTGTTTACCCTGAGTGACTTCCAATATATGGTGTCATAGCACAGGGGCAGAGAGAAAACTGGAGTCAAATTTTAAGTTTTGTAGGATTATAATCATGGGCCTCAAAGGAATGGAAAGGAATTTATTTTGAATTTGAGTTAAAGCTTCTCTTTATGTGTTTGTGGAAATTGTTCTCTAAACAGCAGGAAACAGAAAAAACTAGTAAATTATTAGAAGAGAGAGATGTAGGTAGCCTGGGAAAGGGGCAGCAGTTATCTGAAGGGCTTATGTAGACAGAGAAGGTGAAGCTTCCGTTCATTGCTATGTCCTGCACAGGAAGTGAACACTTCCTCCGCCAGTACCCAGAAGTCCCGTCAGTGCCCACAGACCATGCAGCCTCCATGCAATGGAGAGCTGTACACTGTCTGCACCCTGAAGTTGAGTTATGTGTCCCAGATTTCTTTTATTTGAAGCCAGCAAGTGATCCAAAATCCACTTGGAAGGAGGGATGCTCCACCACGTCCCATGTTTTTTTCCAGTCCCATCACATCTTCTGTATGTTCATGATACACTAATTCTAGCCTATGATCGAAGTAAAACCTTGACTAAGAGCATGGGACTCAGAATATCTAGAAGGGTGGTATATATGAGGAGAAAGAAAAAAGCTCATCCTGAATATAACACACATGATATCTTCCAATTGTAAAATGCATCCCAATTACCCAATTTAAGCCATCTCTAAAGTTAAGTGCACGATTTCAAATACAGGATCCAGTTAAGGATAATAATTCAGTAGCCGTTGTTTGACATTCTGAAGTTGATCATTCAACTTGTTCCTTGGGGAGAAGGAGCTGGAGAAGAAAATTTTGTTCTTCAATTTTTAGAGTATGTTACATGATGGGCCTGATGAACTGCTTCTCATCTTCATTTTCTGAATCTCTTCATGAAGTTTCTCACTCTCCTTCCGAAATCCCTCATCGAGAAGTAGTTTCTGTTCCTACAAAGGAACAGAAAGAGAGATTAAATTTATACAGCTTAACATGTTTCCCATACTTGCCAAATTACGGTACTTACGTTGATCCCTCAAGAGGTTTTGACACTTGGTCTTGAAATCCTTTCCTCTCTTAACCTCCATTATATGACCCTCTCCTGAGTTGTCTATGCCTACCAATAGTTTTTGTGGATTTTCTTTACTTCAGAAATGTTGTTTTATAGTTTCTAAAATATTGGTGACCCAGAATTCTATTCTTGTGTACCTTCACCCACATGCAACATTGTCTTTCTGGAAAAACCATCACTTTTGTTGTTGTTCATTAAAGCACAAACAATTATACATATCCGTGGGGTACAGAGTTGAATGTCAATACCTGTGTACAATGTGCAATGATCAAATCAGGATAATTAGTATGTTTGTCATTACAAAACGTAATCATTCTTGGTGTACATTCACGAATTTCTAACTCTGTCCTCTTTCCTTTACCCCACCTCCAGTAACCATAGTTGTGTTCTCTCCTTCGGAAAGTTCAACATATTATTGTGATTGTTATTTATTTATTTATTTGTTTGTTTGTTTGTTTGTTTAATTTGCTTGCTTGCTTGCTTGCTTGCTTGCTCCCACTTATGATTGAGAACATATGGTATTTCTCTTTCTGTGCCTAGCTTGTTTCACTGTTTGTTTTTTTGTTTTTTGTTTTTGTTTTGGGGTTTTTTTGCTTCATCTCTGATCTGTATAAGTGTGAATTCTCAAATATATATGTAAGAAGGTATAAAAGACAGGTGAATCCAATGGGAAGATTACTATATTATTATTACTATTTTTTTATATATATATTTTTTCCTTTTTGTCTTTTTTCATGACCGGCAATGGATCGCAACCCTCAGTGTCGCGCCCGTACCAGACCGGGACTGGCAACGGGATCGCAACCCTCGGTGTTGCACCTGCACCTCGCTCAGCCAGTGAGCGGCCGGTCTGTATGTGGGATCTGAACCCTCAGCGGGAGCGCTGCCGCTCTCCCAAGCGGTGCACTGTAGCAGTGCGCCACCGGGCCGGCCAAGATTACTACATTATTAAGAATCAGGGAAGATGTACAAGTTTCCAAAATTCTGATGGCAGAGAAATAAATTGAGGAGATCAGTGTTTGCAGTGGCCCATAGATCATTTCTGGGCTGCCGGCAACGGATCGCAACCCTCAGTGTCGCGCCCGTACCAGACCGGGACTGGCAACGGGATCGCAACCCTCGGTGTTGCACCTGCACCTCGCTCAGCCAGTGAGCGGCCGGTCTGTATGTGGGATCTGAACCCTCAGCGGGAGCGCTGCCGCTCTCCCAAGCGGTGCACTGTAGCAGTGCGCCACCGGGCCGGCCAAGATTACTACATTATTAAGAATCAGGGAAGATGTACAAGTTTCCAAAATTCTGATGGCAGAGAAATAAATTGAGGAGATCAGTGTTTGCAGTGGCCCATAGATCATTTCTGGGCTGAAATCCAGACTCAACAAAGATGAGGAGTTGAGCCTGGAGAACAGGAAGGTGTTTGCAGTGTGGGCACTAAACTAGTGTGCTTCCATGGGTAGATAGTTAGGGAGTCTTCCTACTCATTAGGGAGCTTCCAGAGATAAAGTTGCACCAGGTATGGTAAAACAAAATCACTCTGGATCCTACTCAGTAGGAAAGATAGGCCAGATAGCTTACCAGGCACTCTGATACAGAAAAGTTATTTATCTCTCATGGAATTACAATTTCCACATTTAGAAAATAAGGAAATAATAATTCCTACATCATTAGATGAGGATTTGCACACGGAATGCCTGTAAAACACTTGTGCCATTCCTAGATATTAATAGCTACTGTTTAATAGTGATATCATAATGAAGTATTCCATGAGATTATCTTGCTGGTAACCAGCCATTAGTAACCAGAGATGCCAGGGGTAAAGCAGTAAGGAAATGTAAAAGAAAGCAGAATGCCTGGGCTAGCAAGTTCTTTTGGTAGGCATTAGGTTCTCACTCTTATACTTTCTTTCTGATTTGGGGCACTGGAAGAGAAAATTGAGATGACAATTGAATACCTGAAGTTTGAGAGTGAGGGTCCTCTCTTGCTCTGCCATTAACTGGGCCCTGTCCTGCTCCATCTTCTCAGTCAATTGTTTCACGTGTTCCTGATAACTCTTTTCTTTCTGTTCCATCATCTGTTCATTCTTCATTTGGATTTCCTTCAACATTTTGTTCGCAGCTTCTGCACATTCGGCCTTTATACGTTCCACTGAGGAAGAAAAACAAGCAGGGAAAGATGAATATTAAATTGTACATGTTGCTTTTGCCTTCAATCTTTTTTGTTTGTTTGTTTTATTCCTATGCCATTGAGAAAATTTCTAGTGATCATTTTTGTACTGGACAAACAGAAGACAGATGACCGTACATACCAGTTCAGAAGAAAACATAGAACTAAGAATAACACTAGCTATTATTTTCCTACAATAATGATTCCAGGCGGACCGGTATTGCTAATTAACATTTCCAGGGCTTTCCACCTCTCTAGAGTGTTCTCAGTTGTTCTCACCTTCAATCTCTCTTTCCTTTTCTGTGAGTGACTGATCGGTCTGCAGAAGTGAATCAGCCACATCCTCCTTGGACTTCAAGTATTTATTCAGCGTCTCTTCTGCCTAGTTACACAGAGGATGTTAGAATGAGGAAATAGAGCCTATGAATTAAAGTAAAACTCTGTAATTCACCTGCCAATTTAGTTTACTTTTACTGCCCATGTAACAATTCATTCTATAATTCAAATAGCATTTTAAATTTAATAGTTATAAAACCCAGCTCTGAATCCCTCGCAAACATGTTACTTACCAGTTACATCAATTTTAGTAATTACTTACTCTGTTCATCTAACTGTATCACTGATATCTCTTTTTTCCTATACATCCCATGTACAATCATCAGCTAATTGTGTTGGCTTTAGCTTCAGAGTATAACCAGAACCCATCACAGAGTAATTTTTGTTACTGTGGCAGTGACTGTTAGAGTCATCATAAGCTCTATTCTCCCTTTGTACTTTGCAACAAAATGCTGAGTTTTTCCCCAGCTGGGCACATGGCAGATCATGATAAAATACTGTATTTTCTATTCAACATCTTTTGTAGCTGGGGTACTCACATGATTAAATTCTGTCCAATAACATGCAATTGGAAGTGTTATGTGGTACTTCAGAGAAATCTCTTTGAAGGGAATTGACTCACGGCCCTTATGGAATCTTCTGTTTTTCCCTCTTTTTTTCTACTTACAATTTGGAACTAAAGGATGAAACTCTAAGAACCATCTTAGAGCATAAATTGACCTTGAAGAGGGAGACCACATGCTGAGGTGCTGGAGCAAAACAAGGGAAGGGCCTGGGACTGAGACGAATGTGGGATCATCACAGCAGCACTGGGCTCCCTCTGCCTGACTTTTCGTATATAAGAAAGGAAAACAACTTTTGTCTTTTTTTAACCCACTGCTGTTTTTCATTTTAAAGAATATATAGCCAATCCTCATGCAAACTGATCTAACCTGAGTATGCCAGCAGGAAAGCATTATTAAGAGCATAAGTTCTGCTACATGGGTTAGCAGTTGAAGCTATACCAGTCATTACCTGTGTAATATTGGGTGAGTCCTTATGCTTCTCTGTGCATTAATCTACCTTTTTATGAAAAGGGGATATTGATAATATATACTTTATAGGGTTGTTGTGAGGATGAATTGAATTGAACTCAGCTCAGTTTCTGGAACACAGTAAGCACTATATAGGTATTAACTGTTGTTATTGTTATTAGTATATGTTCATAAGCTATAATTTATTTATTGCCTGTAAGTGCTTTGAGAGAACTTGGTTGGTTGGTTATTTATTTGTTTGTTTGTTTGTTTCTTCTATCCCCAGCAACTTGACAAGTGACTGACATATAGTTTGGCTAAAATAAATCATCGTTGAATGATCAGGTGACTAAATCAATGACTGAATCTGACAAACATTTTTTAAGGGCTCTATCTGTGCTTCCAAGGAGGACCCTGCTATCTGTCTCATGGCAGGGTCTCTTATTGAATGAATAAGCAAATGTACAGATAAAAAGCAGGGGCACTACACACCAATCACAGTGCCATTTTCCTTGCGCCCACTGGAGTTTGAGAGAAATCTCCTCAGCAAGTCCCCAGAAATAGTACCTGCTACGTACTTTACCTGGATCCCTTTTCTGGGTGCCTTGTGGTACTTCTTCTCCAGCTCTTGTTTCTTCTGAATAAAGAGACGGTAACCTCCTGGTTTAGAAAATATCCCCTGCTTCACATCTTCTTCTAGAGGACCAAAAATATCCTGAAGTAAAGCCATGCAATGATCTGATGATGCTTTCACGTTCCGCTTACAAAACTCTTCTCGCCTTGCTTCCAACTGGGCCTGTGAAGTGACCAAATAGCACGGATGTACAGTAAACCCACAAGACAAGGATGCTGCCCACACACAGACCACTGGGAATGCTTCTCCTGCAGAGACTGTGGCATCGAAATAGGGCCACACTCCTCACCTTATCGTAAGATGGTAGAATACCCCCAGGAAGGCTTGGTGCAAAAATTTATCTACTTCTCTGTTTGATTTCCTGAAGCTCCTTTCCACTAGTTTTCCTGCTTTAGAGAATGATTCTTAGAGCCTAGACACTTTTTCATGGGAAACTTTGATCTTTCCAAGTCTCCAATTTCAGGAATAGTTCAGATCACAGAGTCAGGCGAGCCTGCGTTTCTGGATCCACCACCATGTAGTTTCGTGACCCTTAACTTTTGTGAACTGAGTATTCCTTGTCTTTAGAACAGTGGGAACAAAATCTGTCTTGCAGATTTTTTGCCAGTATTATATGAGGTGATATAAAGAAAGCCCGATGACTTTTGTAGAAATGCTCAATAAAGGGTAAATGTTTATCTAGTACAGTCTTTAATATGAGCATATTTTTGTATCTTATCTTAATATAGGGCTAATCAAAGTAATATAGATTGTACCAGAGGCATTTTCAGGATTTAGAAAGTCTAACAGAACAGCACATTTATATACATTAAATCACTCAAGACACTTAAATATTAAGCTTTTTTTCTTCCTTAGGTTGGAAAGATGCCAACTGTCTACTGACATTGACCATTTGGTTTCACTAGAACCTCTGAAATCAACAATGTATCATTTGTAAAATCCTGCCTTGCTAGCCAGGAGAAGGACTGTCACTTGTCAAGTGCCATTCGCCATGTACCAATCTTTTCTTAACTTGGGATGAGTCAGCCTTTAAAAACATTTTCAAGTAAAATTCTTGATTGGTTTCTCTTGGTTTTCTGAATGTTTTACCATTGACGTGTGAAAAAACAACAAATTATTAGGGTTATTTTAAGAATAATTTAATCCCCACAGACTATTAGCAGGGAACATGAAAACAATGTGTATATATTTTTTAACTTTAAAAGAAAAAATAAATTAAAATAGTCCTTCATAAAGGCAGTTGTACAGTTTAGTATTTGCTTAAAATATGGAATCCAGAGGGGAGCAATTAACAAAAATGGATTTTTGTGAAAAACTTAGTTATGTTCTCATATTTTATAGATTTAAGGCTGGGCACAATCTAATCTTTTAACGATGATTTCAAATATAAACACATAGCTGAGCTACTGTTTTGGCATCTAGGAAGAATTACCCTTCCCAAAAAGAGCCCATACTTTTCTTCCTCTCATGACCTAGAGCACCAAATATACCCCTAATTCCTTCTGGAACTTCTGGTCCACATCCTTGAAAGAGTTCTTCATGAAGACTTCAATGGCTTCTCTCTCACTGGCCCTGTCCAGGTCCAGCAGCTCCTGGAGGGTATCCGTGGGCAGCTGCACCTTCCGGCTCATCTGCTGGTCATAGTGGGCAATGGCCTTTTGCACTGCAGCCGAATTCTCTATCTGCGCCAAGGCCAGGACTGCGTTCTCCATGCAGGGCAGCTCCCCACTGCTAATGGCATTGACGTAGGTCAGCACCAGGCTCTCCAGACCTACAAAAAGGAATTTTTTAAAAAAAATATTGACTATTAGTTGGTGGACAGATAGTTTTTATGCTTTTCAAGTGTGTGTCACAAATAGTACTTTTAAGGATTTTCTGAGGAAGAATAGTAATTAAATAATTTGTTAGCTTCTAGATCCAGAGGAGATTTAAAGCTTCTCCTTTCTCCCCCTTTTTTCACCCAAAAAGAAAATATTCACATGAATGGATCAAGACAAGGACATTTAGGTGGCTGAGATATTAGGTCTAAGCCTTTTCTTACTCTTCATTTAACTGTTCCTCCACTCCTTTTATTCCTTCCTCTACCTTTTTTCCTCACATAATTTATGAAAAAGGCCAAACCCAAGGAGAAAAACAGCCTTTTTTTTTTTTTTCAGAGGTGTCCGGCCTAGGTGAATGGGTTTTCCTAGATATCTTCTCATCACAGCCACAGGTAGGGTGGTTTTCCCAGAGCTTTGCTGGCTGTAGCACTAAAGTCTCAAACCCAGGAAAACCTAGTCTCAGGCAAATTGGAGAGGTGGGTCACCTTACAAATAATAGTTCTTCATGACTCAATCCTCAATCTTCTCTTTTCTTTCTGTAGTTTAAAGTACCTACCATCTCTATAGACAACTCATAAATTTTATTTCTTGCTTTGACATTATTTTTAAGCTTTGGATTTGCATATGTGAATGCCTGTCTGATATCTCTTAAGAAACTCAATATTAAATAACCCAAATGTAAACAACTTCATGTACTCTTTTTTTTTTTTCCTTTTTGTCTTTTTTCCTGACTGGTAATGGGGTTGCAACCCTCGGTGTCGCACCCGTACCAGGACCGGCAACGGGATCGCAACCCTCGGTGTTGCGTCCGCACCACATTCAGCCAGTGAGCGGGGACCGGTCGCCACATGGGATCCGAACCCTCGCAGGAGCGCCACCGCACTCCCAAGTGGCGCACTCTCCAGTGCGCCACCGGGTCGGCCCAACTTCGTGTACTCTTAAAAAACTATTCCTTCTGCTGATATTACCGTCTCAGTAAATAACACATCTATTCAAGCAGTTGCTAAGCTCAAAACTCTGGAGACAGGCTTCACACATCCTTGTTGTTATCCCTCCATATATGCATGTTCCCTCCATCGTGAAGCTTTTTGGATTTGATATGCTTGGATCTTGTCCATTTTGACCATCTTTCCTGCCATAATCTTAGCCTAACACAATCCACATTTACTGCTAAACCATTGCAAATAGCATCATTCTTGTCATTCTCTCCCTTACAGCACTCCAACGCATTATCTACAAAATGCTCAGAAAGATAGTTATAGATATAAATTAGATAAGTTTCTCTCACTGCCAAAAATCCTTCAAGACCCTCCCACAGAGCTTAGAACAAACTCTAATCTCCTCCAAGTCACCTGCCAGGCCTTTCAAGACCTGACCCCTGCACACTTCTCCAATCCTGACACCACTGCTGCTCCTTCTATTCTTGTTCCAAACACCTTCTTCTATTTCCTTGGAGTTGCAATGTTCTTTTCTGCCTCAGGCCCTCTCATATCACATTATCTCTGTCTGTAAAGCTGGTCCTCCCTGTTCTTCTGGCTAACTCCTACCCGTTTTTAAGTTCTTACCTTACATGTGACTTTTACAGACAGATATTTTCTATCACCCAGTCTAAATTACATCCCACCTGCCTAGATTTCTTATTCTCTAATAGCAACAAATTATTTTGATTTATTGTGTTAATCACTATTTATCATTGTAAATTTTTTTAAGTATCTTTTGCTTCCATTACGCTGGAATGGGGATAGAAATCACATTTACTTTATCCATCATTATACCCAGTGGTTGGTACATTGCAGGAACTCTCTAAATATTCTTGAATTGATGAACAAGAGAATTTTGCTACAATTAGTGGCAAAGTCTCACTTACATATGATATTTGCTTTTTTTTCTGACTTTGTTGCTCTGTGTATATCTCCTGGAAGGCTATTTTATAAATTGGGAGCTGAGAAGTTGGTGGAGAAGATTTTCATAGCATAATTGAATTCTAGTTCTTTTCCCCCCCCCCCTCCTTTCTGTTATAATTATAATGATACTAGAAATAGTTGTAGTTCCCATTTAAAGTTCATAATGTGATGTTTGTGTTATGTTTTCCTTGGCATTATTGGACTATGTATTTGTTGGAAGTGACTTTTGTACCTTCTTCTTTTATTCTCTACAATGGGCAGAAGGAAAGTTCAGGTAAGAAGAGAGGAGAGTGTGACTCACGAGGCCCGTTGACTGTGATGCCACCTGGGAGGGTCTTGGCATTGGAGTGGCTGAGGATGTAGGAATAGAATTCTTTAGTTTGTTCGATGAATTCAGGGTTCAGATCTTCCTCTTTTAGCTGCTCCAGGCGGACAAGGTCTTTCCTTGGAGCAGGCCGGTCGAAGATGAAGCACTTCCTCTTTGGGAAGAACTTTCGGATGCACAACCGAGGCTCATTAAAGTCTTTACTTTTTTGATCTGTACCTGCAGGAATGAGATTAGAGATTGTACAGCTTCAAATGAATTACCTCAAATATATGACCCCTCAAGTTCATAATTTTCACAAAGTTTATGTAAGGAGAAAATTAACTATTGATTAATGAGGAATAAAAGAATTAAAGGGGTAGAGAAAGAAAAGTCTTTCTCCAAGAAGAGGTAGGTAATGCAATTTAAAATTGGATCCAACTTATTTAGCCAAGTAATATTTTCATTTCCTCTAACAGAACAGGCAGATTAGCACAGTGACAAAATTATAATATTCAGCACCTACACAGGAAAGGTCATTCTAATATTGTTATTTCTCTATTTGTAATGCAACCAACGATCAGGCCACGTAACCTTGTTTCAGCTTCAATGAATGCTCTAGGTACTCATCAGCACTGATGGGTTGTCCATTTGCTTCCAGTTGCAGGTAGAAATCTCTCAGAGTCCACACAAATGCTGGAAAGAAGCTCACGAAGTCAGCTGAGTCTTCTAACTCACTATTATCAGGTGAGGAGTTTGCTCTTATTCTATCTGTCAGCTCTATCACATAGCTGAGATGCTAAGTCAAGAAAACTGGAAAAATGCCACTTTTCGTGCTACATTTTCTCCCGATGCTTACCTAAAATAATTTTTTCTCTTTATTATCTCATTCATTCATTCACAAACATTCATTCATATCATTCACTAATTCACAAACATTTATTAAGCTCCGACTATGAACCAGGCACTGTCCTAAGTACTAATGATATTGCTATCACCATAGATTTACATTTTAGTGTTAGAGACAGACAATAAACAAGTAAACCAAAATATAATAAAATATCTTACATATTGATAGCAATTGTCTTGGAGAAAAATAAACTAGGCAAAATGTTAGAGATTAATCGTGTGTGTCTGCATGTGGGGCTCATTTATGTAATTGTCTGGGCAAATTCTCTCTAAGGTTGTAGTTTAGCAGTGATCTGAATGAATTGAGGGTGCCGTCCTTGCACAAATCCACTGCAGGAATCCTCAGACAGAGGCCAAAACACCTGTAAGCCTTCAGATAGGAAATCACTGAGTGTGTCCAACATATATCAAGTAATCCAGTGTGATAAGGTAGAAGTCCTACAAGGAATAGGGGTTGGGACATGTAAGCTCCATAAACCAAAGTAAGAAATTTGAAATTTAATCTATATTTAATGGGAATCCATTGGTGGATTTTAGATGGAAAGATGATATGATATGGTATTTTTCAAAAGGATTATACTGGCTGGTGTTGCATCTATGAGAGTCAAGCATGCAAGCAAAGAGAACAGTTACATAGTGGAGGAGGTAACCAAGGTGAGAGACGATGGAAACTTAGACTAGAGTTATCGTGGAGGAGGTGGTGAGAATTGGTCAGTCTGGAGAAATACCTTTTATAGTAGAGTTTAACTGATTTGCTGACTAATAGTTCCTTGAATAAGAGGGAAGAAATCATCAGGATAATTCCTATGTTTTTTATCTGAGCACCTCTGTGAATAATGTTGGAATTTACCATGATGGGAAAGACTGGGGAAGGAATAGTTTGAGGTAGAAAAATTAGAAGTTTTATTTTGTACATTTTGAGTTTAAGATGTCTCTTCCACATCTAAATGGAGGTGTTGCATCAGCAGCTAAATACGAAAGTTTGAATTTGGATGTGATTGGAAGTACAAATTTGAGAGTGATTGACATATAGGTGCTACTGAAAGCCTTGAGGTTGGATGAGATCGCCTAGGGAATGAAAGTAGAGAAGGAAGAGAACAGGCACAATAACCAAAGAGTTATAATATATACAGGCCAAGAAGAGAATGAGGATGCAGCAAAGTAGCCTGAAAAGCTTTACCTATGAGGAAGGTGAAAAATTAGGAAAGCGTGTTATTGTAGACACCAAAAGAACCAAGTGTTTCAGAAAAGAGGAAGAGATCAACTTTATCAAATGCTGCTGAGAGATCAAATGAGATGAAAACTGCTCATTAGATACAGGAACTTTAAGATGACCTCGATAAAAGCTAATTCAGTCCAATGTGTAGAACTAGTACATGGAAATGGCGAAGCTGTTGATAATGACCTAGAATGAAATAATGAAAGATAGGAGGTGATGGAACTGAGAGACCAGGACATCTATTGTTTGTTAGTCTCTAAAAAGACACTAAGAGCTAAAACCTTTAGCAAGTGAAGGGTGTATTTACTGGGCGGTTGGTAGATGACTGCAGCAAAGAAGGGTGGTGTAGTCTGAGGCCATGAACTTCAAAGGAGGTTCTCTTTTTAATGGCAGAGGAATGAGAAAGTGTTTATAAACTGTAATAAGGAGAAGGAAGGATACCTGACTCATCTCTGAGACCCATGGCATGCAAGGCATGGGATATAAAGAAATCCCCAGGTAAGATCAACTTAAGAGGTTTGTAAGGGAAATAATGTCTACAGACTATAGTGAGGTGTCAATTAGAATGTACCATTTAGAGAAGATAATAAGGATATAGAGATTTGCTGAAGTGAAAACATGAGTTCTAGAAGACATTGAAGGTTTGGACAGGAACGGGAGATTATGTCAGGTAGGGGATACACAGAACCTGTGCAACTGATTGTCTAAAGATATGTGTGACCAGGAAGACTTGAACTTCCGGTGGTGACTGAGGTAAACTGAGATGTTGAGCTAAATGAGATTCGTTAAAGAGGGGACTTAGAATTCTTCAGTACTTGCCCGCCTCTGTACATGGTGAAAAAATGAAGCTGCTCTTTTTTTTTTTCTAGGGTTAGTGCTGTTCTAGATCACACACACAAAAAGGATACTGCAGTTGGTCCATGGCCTCCTGATTGATGGTTCCCATACTATTGTATATAAAGGTATTGCTCAGGAGGACCGCCAGGGCAAAGATCCAGGAGTCATTCTGGTTGTCTCCCTGGAAAGTGTAGAAGCCACATGCAGGAGTGACTAGGAAAATGTGCTATCAATTTAGATAGGTGAAGACTGAACCCCACCCAGCTCTGTCTCTCATTAGTTGTGGAAACTTAGTTAAGTCCCTTCCCTGTATAATAATTTTTTCTATCTGTACAGCGAACTTATGAATATTCAGTTCATAAATGTATATAATTGTATATGAGGGTGTATATCATTCTGTATATAAATGTATATGAGAGTGTGAAGCACATAAGCACTTGAGAATAGTAGTTATTTTGATCAGCTACTAAAATTCAAACTGGTATCCTGAACCTACTTGGGAATGACCCTATTCCATTCCCAAGACATATCATTGGAAGAAACTTTTTAGACAGTAGTTAAAATAAGCTCCTTTAATTAGAGTTTTCTAGGTCCAAGATTTGTAAGTGTAGTAATATACAATCCTTAATGAACAGAAATGTTATCATTAGATCTTGCACTTTTACTAGTAAGGCTGCTGTGGGTACAAACGTTCTTACTGTCTTTCTGGGTCCCCACTGTGAAAATTTAGACATGTTTGTAAAATGTCTAGTGAGGTTTAGAGGCACCTTCAGTAGGTACCAAAACATTTTGCTGTGATATGAAAAAAAAAATGACTGAAAACCTCATTAGCCATTATTTTGTGGGTTGATCCATAATTAATCAATTGAACTTACTGTCCACTCTCAATGCTTATACCAAGTAGATTAAAGTAATAGTACATCGATATGATTATTTAGAAGCATACTTCAGGATGTATGAATGATAGTACAAGGAAGGCTATTGATCTAACACAAGTAGATTTAAAATATTTATTTTTTACCTTCTCTACATCTCCCAGTCCCTCAGTGTCTAGCAGAACGAGGGTGTGTTTTGGCTTCTTGGGATGAGGCACACACCACATCCAGATTCCCTTAGTTTGAGACTGCACCGTGGAGCCCAGAGAGAAGCCTGAAAAGGAGAGTGGGGATGTGAGTGGAAGGAGATTCAATAGCAGGTGCTTCTGGAAACTGAATTAAAAAATTACATCATCAAAGTTAGAAGAGATGAAAAGAAACTAGAACCAGTTTTAATCTTAATTACAATCCTAGAAATGGGAAACTGGAGTTTCCAATACAGCTTGAAACATTTATTTTACTTTAAAGTTCAGTGGAAGCTTACTGTTACTACATGAACATTTTAGAAAATGTTTTATAATTCATTATTACATAAGTTAGTTTTCTTTATTAATACCTGTTTCTTCCAGAAGGCACATTGATACTTTTAAAGGAGAAAATAAAGGCTAAGTTGGAAGGAAAAGTGAAATAATCATTCTCCAAACAGAGTGAACCAGAGGAGCCCATTGGTGGACTGCAAATTAGCTTTCAGTGTTCATCCCCGTCTCTGACTTTCTCCCCTCACACCCCACGCAGGATGCTGACACTGTGCGTGGACAGAAGGGACTCGGCAGAGCTTTGCTGGGCACTCACCCTTTTTCTGCCCAGCCAGCTTGTTCATCAGGTAGGACTTGCCTGTGCGGTAGAGGCCCACAATAGCCACCACCACCACAGGCTGCGTCACGGCAGACAGGATCTTCAGAGCCTCTTGATTAACCACCAGTTGCCCTGTTGTGTTCTCAATGAGGCACACGGGGCCTGGCATGTGGGTCTCTGAGGTCATGTTCAGGTTGTTACTTTGTCTGCAAGAGAAGAGATAAAATGGAAAGCAATTTCTACTCAATTAGCTGAGCTGAACTTTACAATATGAACTAAATTTTTGTTTTCTCCCATTGAGCTTTGTTTCCTGAACATTTTTAAAAGCCCTCTGGCCCTTTAAGACTACCCTATATATTGGTCCACTGGTTCTCTTTTAAAAATCACTTTATTTTGAAACAGTCTGTCAGGAAATTTGCACAATGAAGAGTTCCCATCTACCATTTTCCTACCCTTCCTAGTGTAACATTAGGGATGTAATGTAACAGTATTTGTTTTAAGATATTTGTTCTAATGTTACATTATCTTACGTTACCATAGAACAAATGCTGAAACCAGGATATGAACATTTATATGCTACATTAACTAACTTATAAACCTCATCAGCATTTCACCAGTTTCCCACTCATCCCCCTTTCCTGCCCCACGATCCAATTAAGATCCCTCATTGACATTTAGTCATTATGTTTCTTTAGTCTCCTCTCATCTTTGTTAGTTCCTTATTCCTTCTTTGTCTTTCATGATCTTGATATTTTAGAAGAGTACTGGCCTGTCATTTTGTAGAATATCGCTCAACTTGTGTTTTCTCACATTTCTTCAATATTAGATTGAAATTATGCATTTTTTTGGCAAGAGTGCCACAGAAGTGATGCTCTGCCGGTCTCAGTGTGTCGTATAAGGGATTCATGATGTTGACATGACTTTGATGCTTTGACCTTCACTTGATCACTTGGTTCAGGTGCTGTCTGCCAGATTTCTCCACTGTAAAGTACTCTTTACCACTTTGTAATTTAAACAAAGACACTTTAGAGACTATGCAAATATAGTCTCATCATACTTTTTTTTTCTTTTTTCTTTTCAGCCACTACTTTTAACTTTCATTGATGATGTTTGCTTGTAAATTAATTATTGTGGTGTTTGTCTAAAGGTGATTTTCTATCCTATTTTTTCTACATTTATTAATTGGATTTCTACTGTAAGCAAGAGTTCTCCCTTCTCCATTTATTTATTTACTCATTCAATTATTTGGTTGTATCAGTATAAACTCATAGATATTTACTTATTCTGTGGGGGTTTTTTTCTCAAAAGCAATACCAGTTTATAAGTAAAATTATTTTTTAAATGTACATTTTTAAGTGTACTTTCTTTTTTTTTTTCGTTAAATTTTTATTTTGTCAATATACACTGTATATGATTATTATGGCCCATCACCGACTATTCTGTGGGTTTTAACACTTTGCTATCATTACTTATTTTGTTGCTCAGCTTGCCTCAGATTTGTTGATCGAGAGCTCCTTCAAGCTGGATCCCACGTTCTTTTGACATGCTTCCGTCATATTTTCAGTGCTGCTTTACTTCCTGGCAACACAAGTTATTTCAGGCCTATCTTGTGTTTTCCCTGTTTCAGCCCTAGAATCAACTATTTCTCTCAAAAGCTCTGTTTCTTTTCTCTGGATCATTGTATTTAGACACCAAGATATCACACTAACTGTGTTCATTACTTCTAGACTCTTTGAGGGGCAAAGTCAAGAAATACATGTGTATGTGCTAACACATGCATACACACATCAATATTTTTTCATCTATCCATTTCTATTTATAACCTTGAGTTCCTGCTGATATTTCCAATTCCAACCCAGCATAATTGAATTTATTTAGGTTTTTTTCCTTTCTTTATTTTCAACTACTTTCTCTGACCATGAGAGACCTGGCTTTAATAATAGATAATAAATTTACTTATTTGCTCAATCCTAGTATACACATAAAGTAGTTTCAAAATTGCTAATTCACACCTCTCTGAAAAATAAATATACTAAATAGTTGACATTGTTAGTGTAAGTTTTTCATCTGTAGACTCATGTATACACTTAAAACACTGTATTCCAAAATTGCTTAGATTAGTTCTTTCTTTCTCTGTCCTCTTAGTATGGTCAACTTATTCATTTGTAATACAATTATGTTCATTTCTTATTGTTTATGTTGTTTGGCCTCCCTCACATCTTGGTCTCTGGGTTAATTTTAAGGTTTTTTTTTTTTTTTTTTTTTTTTTTTTTTTTTTTTTTTTTTTTTTTTGCATAGAAAACTTAATGTATTCAACATGATTATACATATGCCATCACAGTGCCAAAATACAATTCAGGTTTCAAGAATCCTTCACTAGCGTTCCATTGACAACACTACAACTTCAAAGTAACCCAAAGTTATGATTTCCTAAAGTGTGTAATTTGTATTCTGGCATCAGTTAATTTAAGATTTCAATGTTTCCATAGTAATAACAAAAATGTAGTCCAACTTCAGGAGCTTGACTTTCGGATTTCATATGTCCCGCCATACTTCCTTTCACATGCCAGGCTCTACAATCTGTTTCATGTTTTTCCAACTCAGAGCTCCCACCAGCATGCAGAGCCTCACTATATCTGCATATTTATTCCCAATGCCCACTGAAAACTGTCCTCAAGCCTAAGCCTAATCAAAAGACACAGTGTCCTTTTGTGTGTATCCTAAGAATTTTTTTCTTTTCTTGCGGCTGGCCTATTTGGGGATCTGAACCCTTGACCTTCTCTAAGGATTTCATATTCTGTCTCGTACTGCAGTAGGAATGACTGCATTCATTACAAACAACTTAGGAACTGGAGCCACATGATTCTTGCATTTTAGCTCCTGTTCCTCCTTGCAGTTATAAATATTTAAACTAAAACAAATGCCTCTCTAGGCTTAAAGTTTCTGTAAGGATTTTTTTTTTTTTTTTTTTTTTTTTTTTTTTTTTTTTGTCTTTTGTCTTTTTTCCATGTCCGGCAACGGATCGCAACCCTCAGTGTCGCCCCCGTACCGGACCGGGGACCGGCAACGGGATCGCAAGCCTCGGTGTTGCTCCCGCGCCTCGCTCAGCCAGTGAGCGGGAACCGGTCTGTACGTGGGATCCGAACCCTCGGACGGGAGCGCCGCCCCGCTTCCCAAGCGGCGCACTATCCAGTGCGCCACCTGGCCGGCCCCTTTTCTTTTTTTTTTAATTTAGAATTTTTTTATTATTAGCATATTCATTCTTTTTTTTTTTTTTTGTCTTTTTCCATGTCCGGAAACGGATCGCAACCCTCAGTGTCGCCCCCGTACCGGACCGGGACCGGCAATGGGATCGCAACCCTCGGTGTTGCCCCCGCGCCTCGCTCAGCCAGTGAGCGGGAACCGGTCTGTATGTGGGATCCGAACCCTCGGCGGGAGCGCCGCCGCACTTCCCAAGCAGCGCACTAGCGCAGTGCGCCACCGGGCTGGCCCTAGCATATTCATTCTTACAAATTGTGATATTTCTTTATGCTCTCTGCCTGACCTATCACTTCCCAACCTCCTTCTTCACCATCTCTAGCATACTTAGGATTGTTCTCTCCTGCTGAAAGTTCAATGTATTGTTACTGTCTTTTCTTTCTTTCCTTCTTCCTTACTAGCACCTAGTTACGAGTGAGAACATGCGGTATTTCTGTTTCTTTGCCTGGCTTATTTTCCTTAACATAATTTTTTCCAGACTCATCCATATTGTTGCAAATGGCAGAATTCCATTCTTTTTATGGCTGAGTAGTATTCCATTGTGTGTATATACTGTACTTTCTTTATCCAGTCATCTGTCAATGGACACTTAATTTGGTTCCGTATCTTGGCTATTGTAAATAGAGCTGCAATGAACATGGGAGTGCAGGTATCCCTTTGACATGATGATTTCCATTCCTTTGGACCTCTACCTAGCAGTGGGATTGCTGGATCATATGGTAGCTCTATCTGTATTTGTTTGAGAAACCTCCATACTGTTTTCCATAATGGCTGTACTAATTTATGGTCCCACCAATAGTGTGGAAGAGTTCCCCTTTCCCCACATTTTTGCCACCATTTGTTATTCTCAGTCTTTTTAATAATGGCTAGTCTAACTGGGGTGAGATGACATCTCAATGTGGTTTTGATTTGCATTTCTCTGATGACTGGTGATGCCGAGCATGTTTTTCATGTACCTGTTGGCTATTTGAATGTCTTCCTTTGAAAAATGTCTGTTCAGGGCCGGCCCGGTGGCGCACTGGATAGTGCACCGCTTGGGAAGCGCGGTGGCCCTCCAGTCCGAGGGTTCGGATCCCATATGCGGACCGGTTCCCGCTCGCTGGCTGGGCGAGGCGCAGGAGCGACACCGAGGCTTGCGATCCCATTGCCGGTCCCCGGTCCGGTACGGGGGCAACACTGAGGGTTGCGATCCGTTGC